AACTTCCTCCTTAACACAGAAATAATCATTAGCGTCACTGTCTGCAGGAGACGAAAAAACACACAGAGCCCTTCCTGCAAACGCTTGTTGAAGCAAAATGGGCAAAAACTCTATAGGCCACTTTAAAGTGGTAGCAAGTCTCTCGAAAGCAATGAAAAACTCATCAACTGTTTCCTCTGAAAACGTGGGCATTAGCCTAGCAACACCTGCTGGATCAAAATGAGAAAAACTAGATCTGGGGGTGAGGCCATCGGTGTTAGAAGGGTTACTCTGACCGAGCTGTATACGCAGACGCAAGTTTTCTGAATCAGCTTCTTTCCCTATAGCTTCAGCTTCTTTCGCTTTAGCTTCAGCTTCCGCCTGACGTATTCCAACTTCTTTCAATTTTATTTGCGACTTGAGAAGGCGTAATTCATCATTCACTGAACGTGACTCAGTTACGTTAACTTGACTAGCTTCACCATGGTCTTCTCTTAAGCCAACATCAACACTATCTTCAAACAGCTGAATTCTTACCGCGTTAAACAACTTTACTTTACTGGCGCTGCTAGAAATTACCACACCATAATACTCGCAAATTAATCTTAACTCATGTGCATTTAACTTTGAAACTTCCTCAATGGATGGATTACTTGATGCAAATGCAGCCACATCATCTTGGCTCATGATAACATGATGGCTAGTTAAGAAATAAAAAAATAAAATAAAACACAAAAAGAATATCACGTGTCAAAGGGCCGTAAGTGAATCCTGGCAAGGTCGCCAAAACTGTTACGCCGTCTCTTAATTTACTTTAATATCCAGGTTCCAGGCGTGACCAAACAAAAAAAGTGAAGTAAATCAAAAGGGAATAAAAATAAATAAAGTAAACCTTTAAGAATTTAATTTAATTAAATTCTAACACAATAAAGAGCCTAGTAGGCTGTCACAACAAATTGATTCACTATCGAAACTTTTAAGACACAAATGATACTAAAACATCAAAACATCAAAAGAACTGCTTAAACATATAGAATAAAAGAATAAAGCACTGCATTACGTTAACACTGCATAAACATATAAAATAACTAACACTGAAATTAACTATCGAGAAACAACACTGAATTACTTAAATGTAACTAAGCAAGCACTGATGGACACATAAGAGACATGAATAGGTACTCACATAGATATACCACATTGGTGGCGACAGGAACAACACAGAAATAAAATAAAGTTTAAGTAATAGGTGACGTGTGTCACTCTAAAGAACGTGAACTGAATGACAAGAGGACTGGACTGAACTCCGTCTGCTGGTGGGGTACTATATATAAGGTCGGCTCCCACCAGTGTGACACGCCCATGAAACATGGGTCGTTTAACGATGCAGATGGTCGTTAAAGAAACAAAGAATGCTTGTTACAATACTAAAAGAAGAAATAAGATGGGCTTGAACAAAGAATAACAGTTAAAACCTTAACAGCACAGGGTAAGGTAACTAGAATATATAATAGTAAATATAACACATCATTACAAGAATAATATGGAACAACATGGAAGCATGTTATAAAAAATAATAGAAAAATACGACACGGTCGTAACAAAAAAAAATATATATATATACTGTATATATAATCAACGACCTCACCAGCAAGGAATCGAACCCTCGACCTACTGGGTGGGATTAGGGAACGCTTACCGGCTAGGCCACAAGGACACTAAAAGCAGTTCTAGACTCTGTTATATTTCACACAAAGCCTGTTCATCGAGCTGATGGCGCCTTGAACCTCATTGGGAAACTGCCCGTGCTTCTTATGTGTAGGTCGAGGGTTCGATTCCTTGCTGGTGAGGTCGTTGATTATATGTTCAAAGTCCGCGTGTTATATGGACTAAAAATGAAGTATATATATATATATATATATATATATATATATATATATATATATATATATATATATATATATATATATATATATATATATATATATATATATATATATATATATATATATATATATATATATATATATATATATATATTGTGATTTTTTGTAGTTATGTATGCGTGCATGGTTCTTTCTTTTGCATGTATATTGTTTTTTAGTGATATATTATATATATATATATATATATATATATATATATATATATATATATATATATATATATATATATATATATATATATATATATATATATATATATTGTGGGATTTTTTTGTGGTTATGTATGCGTGCATGGTTCTTTCTTTTGCATGTATATTGTTTTTTAGTGATATGTATTTGGATGGGTGAGTCTAATGTACATATTCGATGTCGTCACAACGCTGGCAGATTATTCCAGGAGTTGACTGAAACAAACCAAGACAGTTGTAAGCAACGGAAATATTAATTATTGTCATCAATAGAATGGTATAGAAACCAAGGAAGAATTTCTTTTTGCAAATGATAAATATGTCTCATGTAAATTTTTATTGTTAATGATTGATGAATTTACTAATCTTTAAGAGCTTAGTTGTGGAAGTGCTGTAATATATTATAACATCGACTTTCCATAATACAGTATTTCATAAGTTCTTGTCTAGTGTAACGTATTAAAAAAACTTGCTGAAACATTTTTATTTAAACAACAAAGACACCAGCCACCAGCATCTTACCGTTATATAACACTGCCCTGCATAGTTTTGAGGTTTGTGTATTATTAAGCTTTTCTGGGTGTATTTTGCATGCTGATCTCAAAAATGTTATCCATTTTGCTCAATCAGGTCAGAATTTTGTGCTATAGCATTTTAAGCGGAGATTCAGGTAAAATATTGGCATTTTTCGCTCAAAATGGGGTCCTCATATTCGTTCATTAAAAAAATCATCCGAGACATTGGCAAGCCTCACAGAAAAGATTTCGGTCAGTTTTAATGCCCTTACGATGCATTTAAATACACCCACGTGCTCGCCGGCCATTTAAATGTCCGCCATGACGCAAAGGAAAAGAGTATATGTCCGTGTTTTTTTACATATATTTTTCACAATTAAATTTCTTTTTCATCTGGTGGTACATGGCATGTTTCCTCTGTCTGTGGGATAGTCGAGCAGACAAGCAGCACTACATGCAACTGGCCTGCAAGAAGTGGACTTACTCCAGGTTCTCACAATGTTGTTGCCCATGCTCTGGTGAATCCGCAGAACATTCTTCTTCCGCCACTGCACATCAAGCTCGGTCTGTTCAAAAACTTTGTAAAGGCACTGGACAAAAAAAGCCAGGCTTTCAATTTTCTGAAAGAAAAATTTCCAAAAGTCAGTGAGGCAAAGCTGAATGCAGGAATTTTTGATGGCCCTCAGATCAGAGAGCTTTTCAAAGATCCCAAGTTTGATTGCAGCATGGATGTAAATGAGAAGAAAGTCTGGCATGCCTTTAAGTCTATTGTCTCCAATTTTCTTGGCAACTACAGAAGTCCAGAGTATGAACGAGTTGTTGAGGACCTACTTCTGAGCTACAAAGTTCTTGGTGCACGCATGTCCATCAAGATGCACTTCCTCAGCTCCCAATTGGACTACTTTCCAGAGAACTGTGGTGATGTGAGTGAGGAACAAGGAGAACGCTTCCATCAAGATATCCGTGTAATGGAGGAGCGGTACCAGGGTCGCTGGGATATCAACATGCTCGCCGACTACTGTTGGTGTCTGAAACGGGACGCCCCAGACACCAACCACCAAAGAAATTCTCTGCGACAGCCATTTATGCATGTCTAACTGTAAAGGCATCTATGTAGTTGACATATTTTGGTCCTATGTGTTGTGGTTACATTTCTTATGATATATTTTGCATAAAAATTTTGACATCATATTTAAGAATTTCGATTTTTTCCTAATTCCCATAGCATAAAAATCGGACCTGATTGGGCAAAATGAATGGCATTTTTGGAATCGGCACGCAAAATACATAAAGAATCAGCTAAGAAACCCTGCACCTCATGAATTTTTTTTTTTCAAATGCAGCCCAGTGTAATTATATGTACAGAAATTTTGATATTATCTTTGATTGTTTGAAGTTAATAAATGGTACAGTATTTACTGTCTCCCGGAGCACAGTCATTTGAACCTACTGTACCTCGTCCGTAGGTATCCAATTAACATTTTCTTAAGACTTCACGTTGAAGGTGTTATATTAGTCTCCACTCTCCAGCACAGTATTATTGAACGCGAGTCTTGCACACACACAGATTCTTACACCACCAGGCCAGCCCAAGGTGTATACAGATCAGTCAGGCTGCACCGTACCAGCTTCTAACGTAACGTTTGTGTTTCATAACCAATCCCCCATAGGGGGATTTTTCGGCCGTTTGAGACACCTCTAATAATTACCTTCCTCTTCCAAAACTAACAGAGCTAAATATTTATATTTTACAGACAGAAGAGCCAAAGGATAAGGCAACATTTTGGCGACGGTACATTTTGTCTGCATACATTATTTAACTCAATAAATATTTTACGAAAAAGTGGCCGAACCATCACCGCTCTCCCCTACTGTACATTACATGATCTAGTTTCTTTATTAAGTCGTACATATGTCTATATTCAGGATACAGAAAGTTTAGAATCATAACACCAACACACTATTATGTGATAATTATTGAGTAAAATTGTCATACGAATATTTAGAAATAGTGCAGTATTTCTCTCGAGGCTAGTTGCTCCGTGGACGATACTTTTTATGCTAGTTGCTCCTTGGACGATTCTCTTCATACTAGTTGCTCCATGGACGATTCTCTTCATGCTAATTGCTCCTTGGACGATTCTCTTCATGCTAGTTGCTCCTTGGACGATTCTCTTCAGGCTAATTGCTCCTTGGACGATTCTCTTTATGCTTTTCTTCCTTGGACGATTCTCTTTCTGCTAGTTGCTCCTTGGTCGACGGAGAGGTCGAGTGGAGGTTCTTGGGGAATGAGTGTGGTGTTGTGGAGGAGTTGTTGGTCTTAATTCGGTCTTCAACATCTTGGAGAGACTCGGGCATAGGCTTTAGGTTGGTTTCAGGCAGGAGGGAAACGACTAAGCTTAATAAGAATCCCGACCCGGCAATCGTCACCCCCGGCGACCACCACACCTTCTGCGCCTGTGTCAGGAATATGAAGCGTAAGTTCAGTGAGTGATTACTTACATATGGCCTATTAGTGTACCGGCATATATTATTTTTTTTAGCTTTTTTAGTCTTTCAGCTTGAGAAAATGACTATTGTTTGTAAACATGTACCGCCTAAGTACACTGTAGGCATGCACTGTATATGTACATTGTATATCTGCATTGGCTATATATGCAAGTAAATCACTGTAGGTGCGCGTGATCTAGGTATAAGCTGATAACCACAAGGAAAGAAGAAAACACGAAGTTCCCAAGCGCTTTCGTGTAGGTTAAGACTAGATTAGGCCAAGTCAGGACGGGATAGGTAAGGCAGCCACTCACCAGGACATCAGTGACCACGGGGACTATGACACAACCGACATCCGCCATGGAGACGCACACAGCTGTACCTCGAACCCTGATACTGGTCGGGAAGAGCTCACTGGTATACATGGTGATCGTCTGCAAGTAATTGAATCCCTAAGTTGTACGCAAACCCAACATTTTCCTGTATATGTATAGAGATAGATAGATAGATAGAGTGAAACCTCCATATAACAGACCTCGACATAATGGTTATATTGTACCAGCTCGAATAAACGGACTTCTTTCGCTATATAAAGTCCGTTAAATGGAGGTCTAGCATCTAACGGAATGAATCTCTATCTAATATGGACTCCCTCCTCCCACCTCTGCACATAATTCGTTAAATAGAAAGTTCCACTGTAGGTGCATGGAACAAGAATAAGATGCACTATGTGAACTAACCTGATAGGCTCCGGACCCCAGGCAGAAGGCAGCCATAACGAAGACCCATCTCAACCACGACATATCTGAAACACATCCAATAATTATGTTTAAAGGGAGAGGCAGATTGTCCTAAAATCTGTGAGTCATCAGGTTTATATATACATGCGGAACTGTATACTTGCATTGTTTATATATACATGCTCAACTGTATACTGTACCTGCATTGTCTACATACATGCTGAATCTATGGTAACCTGTAATAACGATTTTACTGATATCAATGTTTCTGACTCCAGGATATATATATATATATATATATATATATATATATATATATATATATATATATATATATATATATATATATATATATATATATATACATATATATAAACAATAACAGATAACTTGCCTGGGGGAACAACCATGTCGAGTAGTATGAACACAGCACTCAAAAAACCACCTCCGCCTATTATTTTTCGTCTGCCCAATTTGTGGTTTGCGGGTATTGTGGCCAGGTAGGCTATGGCCTGCAGGGCCCCTAGTAACCCCACGTAGAAAAAAGGGCTGGTGCTGGACAAGAGGAAAATTTTAGGTATTAAAAGCCAACAATGGAAAGTAGATTCTAAAAGCCATCTTGTTTCAATCGACTTAAGTGTTTATGATTATAAATTATGCGTCGAACGGTTTGTAAATAAACATTAAAACTAGGCTTTCGTGAACTGATTATGTGATATACAGTTTTTTTCCGCATAGTATAAAGGAAGCTACAGTGAATGATGGGGTATATGAGAGAGAGAGAGTTTTTATATACCTCGTGAAGTTATTAGCATTGAGTGTTATGGCGAAGAAGATGATGTTTACCAGGAACCACATCAGAGGTGTCACCAACATAATCACTAACATGGCTGGGGACCTGAAGTACTGACACATGGCTTTCATCTTCTCTACCAAACGCTTACTGGCGGCCTCTTTGGGGGACTGCTGACCCTGGACTTCCTGCGGGCTGGTTGGCGGTTCCTGTGACTGCTGTGAATATAATAAACTTTGGACATGTATACAATCAACAAAAAGTCCCACGTTACCCAATAATTATGTTAAAACTTGATATAAATATATAATGGTGTATACTCCTTGTTTTCAGCTCACAGATAATATTATATTACACTGAAACTATATAAAAAAGGAGACATTATATTAATTTAATGCTTTCAGTAAAACAAAATGGGGGCTAAACTTCAGGTAACTCTCTCTCTCTCTCTCTCTCTCTCTCTCTCTCTCTCTCTCTCTCTCTCTCTCTCTATCTCTCGTAGGTCGACAGTGCTCACCTTTCTGAGTTTGTCGAGAAAAGGCTTGAAGGTGCCCGGAATGGGTGAGCGGTTATACTCCGAAGCTCTCACTAACAGCTCTGCCGCCTCCTTCCCACGGCCGTGTTGTGCCAACCAGCGGGGTGACTCATTCAAGGTCCTGCCACAACAAGCGTAAACATTACTCATAAATAGATGGTTGTACTCATAGATAGATGGTAATACTCATAGACAGATGGTAATATACATAGATGGTTACACTCATAGATAGGATAATAATACTCACAGATAGAAGGGCAGTATGAGGCAGACAGGTAAGACACATATCAGCTGGAGGTAGCGCCACTCCCTGACGAAGTAGCCAGAGATGGCGAAGACGACCAGGGATAAGCCGTAAGGTATTCCCATAAATATCCCCACGACAGACCGGTATTTGGGAGGTGTCGTCTCCATCACTGTAGGGGTTCAAAGGCCTATGTTAGTGTTATTGTGATGGTGTCGAATCATAAGCTGAGGTTGTTTCACGTTTTAAGACTTACTATGTACCCAAGTTACAGCTGACTATAAGGACTTGCGTTACTTTTTTTACTTTACTGTCTTTTTGATGCAGGTGATTAACTTATAAGGACTTACACAAGACATTATAGGTGATTAACTTATAAGGACTTACACAAGACATTATAGGTGATTATCTTATATAAGGACTTACTCAAGACATGATAGGTGATTAACTTATAAGGACTTACACAAGACATAATAGGAGATTAACCTATAAGGACTTACACAAGGCATTATAGGTGATTAACTTGTAAGGACTTACACAAGACATTAGAGGTGATTAACTTATAAGGACTTACACAAGACATTATAGGTGATTATCTTATATAAGGACTTACTCAAGACATGATAGGTGATTAACTTATAAGGACTTACACAAGACATAATAGGAGATTAACCTATAAGGACTTACACAAGGCATTATAGGTGATTAACTTGTAAGGACTTACACAAGACATTAGAGGTGATTAACTTATAAGGACTTACACAAGACATTATAGGTGATTAACTTATAAGGACTTACACAAGACATTAGAGGTGATTAACTTATAAGGACTTACACAAGAAATTATAGGTGATTAACTTATAAGGACTTACACAAGACATTATAGGTGATTAACTTATAAGGACTTACACAAGACATTAGAGGTGATTAACTTATAAGGACTTACACAAGACATTAGAGGTGATTAACTTATAAGGACTTACACAAGACATTATAGGTGATTAACTTATAAGGACTTACACAAGACATTATAGGTGATTAACTTATAAGGACTTACACAAGACATTAGAGGTGATTAACTTATAAGGACTTACACAAGACATTATAGGTGATTAACTTATAAGGACTTACAAAAGACATTATAGGTGATTAACTTATAAGGACTTACACAAGACATTATAGGTGATTAACTTATTAGGACTTACACAAGACATTAGAGGTGACTTATAAGGACTTAACACAAGACATTATAGGTGATTAACTTATAAGGACTTACACAAGACATTATAGGTGATTAACTTATAAGGACTTACACAAGACATTATAGGTGATTAACTTATAAGGACTTACACAAGACACGATAGGTGACTAACTTATAAGGACTTACATAAGACAGTACAGCTTATAATAATCATCCTGTTGCAACCACCGACCACCAGTCTGAGCAACATGACTACGGGGTACCACGGCGCCAAGGCCACACCCAGACACGCTGGTAGTCCCAACAGCCCTCCTACTAGGATACCTCTCTTGCGTCCCAGCCTGCAAGTTCAAGTACAGAGAGAGAGAGAGAGAGAGAGAGAGAGAGAGAGAGAGAGAGAGAGAGAGAGAGAGAGAGAAATAGTCAGTATAATATTCATACAAGGTAACAATGATTTAGCATGTATACAGTAGGTTTTTAAACAGTAGGTTTATAAACAATGTAATTGGTGGGGACAAATCTTCAGGTGAACCGTCCAAACCTCACCTAATCTACCTGTCATATACAAAAAAAAATACTTGTGTGTGTGTGTGTGTTTGATGACTCACAAATCTGCCAGTGGACCAACGATCCAAGAGCCTAGTATACCGCCCATGGCCAACATCTGCTGGTAGAGCGGCCGTAGTGAAGTCCTCTCACACACCAAGTGGAACTGCAGTGAGAGAAAGAATCTTGATGTGTTGGGTAATTCTCGCTGGTCGTGTTGTATGGGGGGCGGGGGGGGGGGTTAATTAATATTTACACAGCTGGACACCATTTTACGTAAGGGGGAAGATAGATTCTTTCTTATCTATTTTATTTATTTTACTTGTCTCTTATCGAGTTATATTCTATATAGGGCTTACCTGGGAAACCCCTTGTGACTTTATAATCTTCAATACTCACGGTAGCTGCCACCACCCAGGTTTTTCTATCAAGATAAACGAGATTCTAAAATACAAAACTGATAATAATTTCAATAAACTCACCGGATTCTCTGGAGTCTTTAGATCAAGGAAATACAACTTCAGTTTTTAATTGCTACCCCGTAACCTCACGAGAAACATTGATTGTGGCTGTGGGACTGTCACTCAAAACACAATTTATACTCCACACAAAGAAAGACGAAGCCTTCAACATATATTCAATACACCTTGAATGCTTCAGCTCACTGTTGGTATATCTGACTTATCGCTACTCATACAGGTTATAGCATAACTTAAAATTTACATTACAGAAATGACTTGAGGCAGAGAGAGAGAAAATTTATGGTACCTCTCGCTCGAAAAAAAAAACAAGTCTCTCTATAGGGGTAACACATTAGTCTCACCCATGTTTTGAGGATGGTATAATTAAGTGGTGAACATACTAACAGTGCAATTGTGACTATGACAGTGTCGTGTAGTGTAATATTGGTCGGGTTGTGTGTAATGTTGGGGTAAAATCACTGTCTGGGGATTAACCATTTTAATCCTAACGCTACCTTGAAGTTAAGTTAGGTAGCTTAGCGTCAGGTTTGAAATACACTTGAGTTCCTTGTCTTCGTGAGTTATACACCACACAAATACTTATTAAGGAAATAAAACATAAAAGGAAGCATAAACGGGGAGGACAACGTTGTCAGCCACAGGCAAAAAATATAACAACAGATCTGGATATAACACCAAAACTTACCTCGGAAAAGATGGAGGAGATGAAGAGAGATCTGTCATACTCGATAACAGGACAGGAGAGTAGACCTGTGCTGTGTCTTCCCGGGTCAACGGAAGAGGAGGAGAGAGAGATGAAGTCAACAGTCAAAGTGTGGGTGGAGGAGGAAGTAGTATCGAGGCATTTGCTATTATACCATGGGGTCGAATCCACCTCTGTGATGGTGGTGGAGTTGCTGGTGTTGTTGGTGCTGGTGTTGGTGGTGCTGGTGGTTGGAACAAGTGAATTCACAGCATTAAGAATATAACTGCTTTCGTTCTTCCTACTACTGTACTACAACTAAAGTAATATTAATACTATAGTTTAAATGGCCTCCAACCAGCCTTCATAGTCATACCTTCTCCATCATTTTAATGCCTAACCTATCCAAACACAAACTGATCTATCCTAGCTGAGTTGGATATCTTCCTAATATAATTTATTTTTATTCAGTTTAAGGACCACCTGAATATTAGGCCCCAGCTTATTTTCATCTCTTTCAAGACCAGACGTGACCAACACTGAAGCAGGTACAGATACACTTAGGAGCCAGCACGTCCCAGTATTTGCAAACTGTTACTAGCCGATCAGTGGCAACGAGGGTGAAAGTTAAGATTAACCACCCTAACGTTAACCTAATCTAATCTAACATGACCAAGTGCTAACCTAGTATCATCTAACGCTAACTTAACCTAACCTGACTTAACGCTAAACTAACATAATCTAACCTTACATAACAGAACCTAAGAACATAACCTAATCAACCAACCCTAACGAAACTAAACACTAACCTAACCTAATCTCCTCCCAGGTAGCGTTAGGGTGTTTAATCATCAGGTGAAATAAGCTTGAAGCCGGGGTAAATTTTCACATGAATCATATTAATTTTCACATTTAAACAAATAAAATGTCATGGTCACGTTGACTGCTGATCAAATTTAATTAATGATTCTTATTAAACTCCACGACCGCAAAACATGAGTGAGTTGGCGACCCCTGAGAAGAAGAAGTGTTTTTCCCATCGACGCTACACTTGTTCCCTCCCGAGTCCCGCCTTTGTGAAGACAGTTATCAATGCGTTGTTTATTCCACTTTCTCCTGGGAAGCCCAATCTTGAATTAGTGTGTGTAAAAGGTCTTGTAACTGTACTGAGAAGTACCACTTGGATGTTGAGTAAAGTAATCTACAATGAGTGCCATGTACTATGTATTGTGAGTAGGGCCAATGAACTGATCCTGCTATGCCATGTAATGTAACACCAGTAAGGTTGTGTGCATTAAGAGTGTAAGATCTGAGTAATTACTGTTGAGTAAAGAAATAACTAAATAAGTAAATAAGAAAATAAGTAAAGAAGAAAGTACTGAGTCTGCAATAAGCCAGGGAGTTGAGCCTGGCAGTTATATGATTAATAATATATCTTTTTCCCTTTGATTTCATATTAATAAATTTGTTTTTAGAGTACTTTAGGTGTATTCATTTCTCCCACAGTATTTTACCTTTATTTCCGTCCAAGTGACTTGATACCAGAATTACCATACCCATGTGCCTAGACCCTCGACCATGCTACCAAAAGAATGGCCATGCTACCAAAAGAATATGTGACAGACCTGAGTAAGAGTAAGAACTAATATAAGAGAAGTAAGATGAGGGTGGTGTAGGTGTTGGAAGACACACGCGCCCTCACAATAATAATACCAAGAAAGAAACAGGTGTAAAAATATGTAAATTAAGTTGAGGTGTGTTACTTACCTATCTGCCAGCACAGTGTAGGCCAAGCGAGGCAGATCGTCAGGAGAGGAACAGCGGAAGGGCAGAGGTGCTGTGATGAAGGTAGTTGCCGCTCGTTGTATGGTGATGGCATTAGCTGGGGAGGCAAGGTATTGGTGATGTGCGCGGAGGAGGATGGCGAGATGTAAGTGAGGAAGGGTGGAAGAAAGAAGAGGAGGATGGAGACGATGAAGAGGGAAAGAAAAAGAGGAGGAGGGAGAAGGGAAGACAACATTATTCCTCAAGGTAACACGTAAATGTTTAAAATGGAATAAATCTTAGTGTAAACATGTAAACCTGTCCTTCCTCATCCCCTCGCCCACTTAACTTAGGTCCTGTTCAGAATCTCTAAAAGAATGTTGACGTCCAAATGTTCATTAAGAATATGGAAATATGAATGTCTTATAAGAGTGTAGACGTAAGAATCTTTTAGAGAATATACTTTAAGAGACTCACCGATCGCTGTAGCCATGAAAATAGGACTCAGCCACCAGCCACAACCCACCACAGAGAGAACTTCGTCGATGCAGTCGTCGCCAGACATACTGGTGGTCGCTGGTCCGCTACGCTGTGCCCCCAACCTGTTGACCACCAAACTCTCACTGATCGAACTCTTAAGTGTTGGCCATGATTAGTTAGTTATGATGATTACTTATTATGGATGCTGAGTTAGGAAGGATGATCAATTACTGTAGTTACTATATTTTATCCTCTTCGCCACTGATTGGCCTGTTTATCGGTTTGGGGATCGGTCACGTATGTTGCACGCTGTTGTCAACTTACCATGTGCTGTATCTAGAACGGGTTTGTACTTGCACCAGTGTTGGTCAAGTCTGGTCTTGAAATAGCTAACACTCGGTGCCGTCACAACACTCTGGCAGATTATTCCAAAAGTTCACAACTCTCACTCCAAAAAAGTTCACACTGACAGTTTGAACTTAGGGTTTCTTCAACCTGAGGTTGTGACCTTTAGTGTGCCACATATGAATACTCGACTAAGTAATATCGTCTGAGATGCTTCTGAACTTCTATTAAGTCACCTCTTGCCAGCCTGTAGTACAAGCTATATAGGCAACTGCAGACGTTCTAATCTCTCTGGGTAACTGAGATGCCGTAGTGCAGGCACCAGAGTGGTGGACCTTATTTGGACGTTGTTAATCATTTAGCCGTCTCTAGTACTGTATATCTCAGAGACCACACGGGACAGTACTCCAGTCAGGAATCGCTGCACTTCTGAAGAACGTTATGGGGGACTGACCAGCTAGGTACAGTATGTGAGCTAATTGTTATTGGAAGGAAATTTATTATCAAGGAGAACCCTTGTTATACTAAAGTAATGAAAATCCTGTGTTGTGTGTCTTACCTAGCAACAGAAGGGAAGATATAATGACGATCTGCTGGTAAGAGGGCGCGCTTCTATATACTGTATATTCTCTGTCTCATACACCACCAGCCGCGCACGGAGTAACTCACACTCATAATAACCTTCATTTTATATCCCTGGACAGTGTAAATCAACTGCATCGAGTTTTACCTAAAAAAATATACAACTAATATACAACTAATATTCTATGATGGTGAAACAGTCGTAGAATTAATCGTCTCGGAATTGGAAATAGCGACGAGTGGTGGTGTCAACACAGTGTAGCCGATTGCCCCTAGCAACACACACACTCCTGGATTTAAAATTTAGATGGATTGATACACCGAGAGATGGTGACCAAGACGTACCTCCATAACCCAACCCCCGTGAAGGACCATTGCATTCCTCACTCTACATTGTATGTTCGACAGTCGATACTCTACTTTGTATACTCGTCAGTTGACACTACATTGTATACCTGCACCTTTGTGTGCACAGTGTATACCTAAACCATGTATTATGTTTGTATACCTGTTCTGCCTTTGTACTTAGTTTGATAATCAGGTGAAATAAACTGGTGGCTAATCTTCAGGTGGTCCAGGTAGAGTAGACGCTTAAAAACAATTTTCTGTAACTCGTGAATAAGCTCAAGATATAAATAAATTTTTTGTTGTTGTTAGAATGTTATTACGGCTCTTCAACAACCAAGATATAGTATATAAACAAAAATTCCCGGATGGAGATTTAAGAACCAAAAAAGAGGACATATCCGGGAAAATACGGACGTAGGTAACCCAACTTTTGTGCAACTGTACCTCCAGACACCACAAGACGCCGATATATTCAAAGTTCAAACCCCTTCATGTGTGAGTAACATGATAATCAAGTGAGGGTATGTCAGGGCTTGAGGAACACCTTGAGGGAGAGAGTTAGCATGTAAATCGCCCACCGGGTGTTCCTAAGCTCATGTCGTGAGATGGTAAACATTCATATCACCTGTTTATATATCAAAGTTTATATTTACAGTTTAGAAGTACTTGTATGAAGAACAGTACAAGCAGTGTGATCACCCGAAGATTGATCCCCTAATTTTTTTCACCTGAAGATTCACTCCCAGTTTATTCCATCTGAAGATTCACCCCCTAGTTTATTTCACATGAAGATTTACCCTCAGTTTATTTCACATGAAGATTCACCCCCCAGATTATTTCACCTGAAGATTCATCGTTTCCCAGTTTATTTCACCTGGAGATTCTAACGTTACGCTGGTTAATCTTAAAGTGAAATAAACTGGGGGTGATTCTTAAGGTGGAATAAACTGGGGAGCGAATCTTCCGGTGAAAATGACAAGGAACACCTTACATCCCAGTGTCAGAACACTGTACTGTATATAGCTTAGAAACCTGACCCACTCCCCCTACCCCCCAAAAAATCGCTGGAAAACAATTATTGTGTCGTAGTATGGAAAGTGAGGTTATAGAGTTGTAGGTAAAAATCGGCTCAATATTAACCAATAATACCAACGAATGCATCAGTTTTGTCTTATAATTTTATGCGTTTCTTGGTCGACTTGATGAGGTTTGTGTAATATTTTTGTGTGTTATGTCGGACTTGGTTAAATTTACGTTATAATTGTGCCGTTTATAGTTGCCCGTTAAAGTGTCAACGAACAGCTGGATCCAGGAAGCTCTGAGAAAACTAGCTGGCTTTATTCATTAGTAGTGAATCATTACGCTAGTTACCAGTACACTAAGCAAAAATAAGGAGATAAAACATGTCAAGTATTTAGTGATCTTTGTGATCTACAATGTCATAGTGTTGTTGACGTTGACGAAATTTGGGAACGGTAATTTTAAACCCTTGAAAACGATGGTCCCGAAAGGAACAAACCATCGTGCTGAGCTTTATTTTCCCATATCGTTAACCCTCTCTTGGTCAGGGGTTTTGTTCTGCTCAATACAATCGTCTGGCGTTAGCCAAAATACAACAAACACCCAAGGGTAAATTTGCATTAGTACACACAACTCTGTTAGATAGTCCAAACTATGCTTTTCTAGTGTATTTTGATCGGTTTTGACCTTGATTTCCGTCGGAAATTGACCGTTTTTTAGTTATCGGGGGTTCTGGGTGGGGCGTTTTCTGACAAAAATCACGCCAGGCCAATACAAATGACAAAAAAAAACAATAGAAAAACATAAACCAAACCTAACCTAACCTAACCTGACCTAACCTAACTATCACCAAATGGTGGAATCACTTATATCTTACCTTATTGGCCAGGTTCATGCCAACTATGTTGGTCTTGACGATATTTACACTCGTTCTTACACTTAGGATACTTTACTGAGGTCAGGAGAACACCATGAGATCTAAAAAAAATGCTATAGCTTGTTCGTATTTTTTTCCCAAAACGCGCAATCAACAACATATAATTGAAATGACACCCATTGCAGACTTCCATGGTCGGAAATGAATTTGAATTTCGAAATACGAGACTCAAATTCACAATCGAATCTGATTGGGCAAAAAATACAGCGAATTAAGCCACAAACCATTTTAAGTGGTGCCCCCCCCCCCCAAAAAAAAACGCTTTTGATTGGCGTGTACAGGAACGCATGTGCGTGGCGATTTATGAAGGAAACAGCTGAGTGGGAAGTCGGGTAGGTGATAATGGCGGAAGATTAATGGAAGAAAATAGAGAAAGATTTGGCAGGCGCTATGTCCGTTATTATACGTTTGCGACAGTAATGCAATAAAAGAAAATGATCTTGAAATTAGATGTCTTTTTAGAATATGATAATAGATTTGGGGTAGGAAAGCTGTGTGTACTAATTCAAAAATACCCACCTAAGTGCTCCGCTTCTCTACAAAGGGCTAAATATTTGACATAAAAGTTACCCATATTGCATCGCCACCCCACAAAAGTGACATAACACACACGACAACCGGATGGATGTCACAAGACCCAAGTTAAACAGCTGAATTTATGACAACACACGGAACTCTTGGAACACTTAAAGTGACGTTGCATTTTTCACTGTCGTCATGCCAAAAACTGGTGGAGCCTTGCTAGCTTGTGAGATGAAAGGCCGGTATTTACGTAGTATAACACGCAGGGGCGCACCCAGAAATTGAGTAGGGGAGGATTCAAAATTACTGAGAAGTCTGACCAATATTTGACGCCATTTGCACTGAATCTTAGGAAATAATCTGAGGTTAAAGATGGTGTAATTTAGCATCATAATCTTTGTATATAGACTTATATTACAGGATAATAGAAGTCATAAAAAAAATTTAAATATTTTATTTACACAATTTTAAAATATATGAATTTACTGCACTAAATATAGAGTATATAATATGGTTATTACTGTACTGAATGAGTAACAATCATTAACCATTTAAATACTTGTATATAATGACTAACTAACATTGAACACTATCAGAGCTCATAAAATTTGCTTAACAGTTTTTGAACACCCATAAAACACATTGCCTTTGTTTTTCTGCAAGTTGTTGAAGTTACAGTGTTCATTTTTGGTGGATATCAACGAAATATAATGCGAGAGGCTCAGACAATGACACAAACGATGTTGCTCTTTCCAGTATATTTTCGGGTCAAAACAAACATAACGCGCATTCAAAGTGGCGCTTTATTCCACAACTAAAATAAAACATAATAGAACATGAAGGTTCCAAGTGTTCCCTGAAGAAGGCAGTGATGGGTAGGGAAACACCGGGTAACACTGAAGTCCATTTATTAACGGATAGGAGAAATACAAGTGGTGACTTGCGTGTGCCATGCACGGCCCACAGAGTCAGACTGAGACTGCCTTGCCATATGGCAGCCTCGGGGCAATGTTGCCACATAACACGTGCAGTGTTGCCACGTAATTATATACATAGGTGCTACTCGGCACAGTAGCTGAGATACATAACCTACAGAACATATTCACATAAATATCGGGTAACCTAGTTTATATCTAACACCCCCTCTTAAACTAGGGTACACCTCTTATAATACCAAGCTTCTTTAGTTTCTCTTTAGATACTGGTTTAGTGAACATTTCAGCAATGTTATTTTCTGAAGGAACATAATGCAGATTAATAATACCATCTTCTACTTCTGATCTAATAAAATGGTACTTAATATCGATATGTTTCGACCTTTGATGATGTACAGGGTTTTTAGCCAATGCAATAGCTCCCTGA